GAACTTGTAATCAAAATGCATATCAAGATTACATATTGAACGTAATGTTTTAATGTGATAGGAACATCTAGGATAAACTCACTTTTCCAAAAAGTCTACCCATTTATATGTCTACTAGTGAACCACATTTGAGTCTATTTCTCTTTCTTTGTTTTACACCTCATAATTAAACCCGAAGCCTTTCTTTTTATTTTCCTCTCTTTTTACACCCTTGTCGAGACTTAAGATCTTGTATCACTCTTGTTCCACGAAAAAAAGGAAATGAAACAAAATTTAAAAAAAAAATGTGTTCACTATTTCAAACAGCAGAAAAAAAAGAGACACTTTGTTCAAATGAAAAAAGATAGGAAAAATCGATCGTTTCAATTGCCTTTTATATATTCTTTTTCCTTGTTTTATTTTTCATTGTGCTTCATGTTAGTTAATGGATTGTTCCTAATTGTTTTAATCTCTTTTCTTGGTACTTAAACCGATCATCATGGCCTTTCCCTACCCTAACCTAAGCCCCGTTACACCTTGTTTAAAGACCCCTTGATTATTGTATTATGTTCATTTTTTTGTAGTGGAGACTTGATTGGATTCCAAGCCTATGGTGATATTTTGGTTAGTTTCAGTTTGAGCGATTTCATTTACCCTAAACATTTTGAGCGGATATGTGTGAATCTTTGTGGGGTATTGAGTCATGTTTCATTGAAGTTGGCAATTAATTGGAATATATTGCTTGGTTTAAATATCCCTAGTTGCATCTTAGCTTGATTGTACATTGAATTCGACAATTTTCATGGACTTATTTCGATTGGAAGTTTGAGGAATAACATGGGATTGAAAATGGCAACTTATTATTTTGATGTATTAATTGATGAATGCTTGAGGACAAACATTGAATAAGTGAGGGGGGTTTGATAAGTACTTTATTTGGTTAATATTTTACTGTTAAATTGCTCCATAATCATTGGTTTTTATGGCTTATTCGTTCGTTTTGATTCATTTTATGTGCATGACACTAGATTCTGGAAATTGTACTAAAAGGACAAAATTCTGCAGTTTTTTTTATTTTTCAGAATGAAAGCTGGATTAATGGGCATGACTTTGGAATGATGCATCTGACATGGCAATGACATCAGTACCTTCTAGAAGGTCCAGTCAGCGCTTCTAGAAGGTCCAGTCAGCGCTTCTAGAAGAACGAATGGATCAGCCGCACATTTCTGCAATTCGAATTTGAATTAAACTCATGTTTTAGGATATTATTTTAAATATTTTATTTTATCTTATATTTGTTTTAGGTATTTTAGTTTAAATAATTTTAAGTATTTTCATTAGGATTTATTTCTTTATTTTATGAACTATCTTTACCTTATTTTTAGGATTTTGAAGGCTATAAATACCCCCTCAGTGTAAGCCTAGAAACATTTCTCTCAACAACTAAGAATTTACTCTTCTTCTTCTTTCTAGTTTTATAAAATTTTATCTTTTCTTTTCTTTTCTTTTTCAAGTTTTCATTTTCTTATTTTATGTTTTTCAAATAATTTTCTTTTAAGACGAAGGCTAAAGCGATGACTCAATTCCAAACGTGAGAAATATAAGACACTTAAATCGCTTCAAATATCTCTCTCTATTTTCTGTGCTTATTTTCAAATCAAAACAATTTTCAAAACCAAAAGTCGACGTTGGTCTGGATGTTGTTATGGTTAACGTGGAAGAAAGGATAGGCTTATTGAAACACATTCGACTTCCTGGGAACACACTTAGCAAAATTGTTTTCTAAGAGGAAACTGAGATCGAAATCAGTTATTGTTGAAACAACATAATCCGAGTCGACAACTTTTGGAGCCTCAACGGTTTTAGATCTACAATATTGTTGTTGCTTAAATCAAATCACAAGCCGAAATTAAAGATTTCTCTTGGGTATTCGGTATACAAAGCATAGTCACAAAGATATGTCCTTATAGACAAGTAACCGACGTGAATCCTGAAGTAAAGATCTATTTCGATGACCCGAGGAAACTGAGTCAAAGTTGAAAGCCTGAGACTACTTTTCACAATAAGTCTTCTTTTCAAATTCAAATTATTATTTTATTCTGTTTATTTTTATTTTTATTATTTGTCTTTATCTTATTTGCAAACAGTCTTTCAAAATCTCCATATTTTATCTTATTCTTATCTCACCTTTATTTTTATATTTTTATTTTTATTAATTTTTAATCTTGAATTTCATCCCTATCCAAACTCTACTGTTCAAAAACAAAATTATAATTAAACCAGAAACTGCATAGTCTATGTGGGATCAACCCTTACTTTCCACTTGCTATATTTTCTTTATATTTATTTTGGGATAAGGAATTATTTTGACACGAAAACGACGCGTGTCAGCCAACCACCGTAGACCGTTGTAGATGGTGGTCGTCAGTGCTTCTAGAAGAATGAATGGATCAGCCGCACATTTCTGCAATTCGAATTTGAATTAAACTCATGTTTTAGGATATTATTTTAAATATTATATTTTATCTTATATTTGTTTTAGGTATTTTAGTTTAAATAATTTTAAGTATTTTCATTAGGATTTATTTCTTTATTTTATGAACTATCTTTACCTTATTTTTAGGATTTTGAAGGCTATAAATACCCCCTCAGTGTAAGCCTAGAAACATTTCTCTCAACAATTGAGAATTTACTCTTCTTCTTCTTTCTAGTTTTATAAAATTCTCTCTTTTCTTTTCTTTTTCAAGTTTTCATTTTTTTTTATTTTATTTTATGTTTTTCAAATATGCTAAGTATGACTTTTATCATGCTTAACTAATTTTCTTTTAAGACGAAGGCTAAAGCGATGACTCAATTCCAAACGTGAGAATTATAAGACACTTAAATCGCTTCAAATATCTCTCTCTATTTTCCGGGCTTATTTTCAAATCAAAACAATTTTGAAAACCAAAAGTCGACGTTGGTCTGGATGTTGTTATGGTTAACGTGGGAGAAAGGATCGGCTTATTGAAGCACATTCGACTTCCTGGGAACACACTTAGCAAAATTGTTTTCTAAGAGGAAACTGAGATCGGAATCAGTTATTGTTGAAACAACATAATCTGAGTCGACAACTTTTGGAGCCTCAACGGTTTTAGACCTACAATATTGTTGTTGCTTAAATCAAATCACAAGCCGATATTAAAGATTGCTCTTGGGTATTCGGTATACAAAGCATAGTCACAAAGATATGTTCTTATAGACAAGTAACCGACGTGAATCCTGAAGTAAAGATCTATTTCGATGACCCGAGGAAACTGAGTCAAAATTGAAAGCCTGAGACTACTTTTCACAATAAGTCTTCTTTTCAAACTCAAATTATTATTTTATTCTGTTTATTTTTATTTTTATTATTTGTCTTTATCTTATTTTCAAACAGTCTTTCAAAATCCCCATATTTTATCTTATTCTTATCTCACCTTTATTTTTATATTTTTATTTTTATTAATTTTTAATCTTGAATTTCATCCCTATCCAAACTATACTATTCAAAAACAAAATTATAATTAAACCAAAAACTGCATAGTCTATGTGGGATCAACTCTTACTTTCCACTTGCTATATTTTCTTTATATTTCTTTTGGGATAAGGAATTATTTTGACACGAAAACGACGCGTGTCAACCAACCACTGTAGACCGCTGTAGATGGTGGTCGTTTGGTCTCAAATTTCATAGGTCGATTTGTCTCAACCCCTTGAGTCCGAATCTGATGGTTTTTTTTCCAGAAAATGTTCCAAAACCCATGGATCTCGACTAAAACATTTCACCTTCCTCAATTTCAATCTTCAATTCATGGATTTCGGAGCAAGTTCTGACAAAATGGAGGTTGGATTTGAACTCATAGTGTCGAGGCGAAGCGACCCATGAAATTTAGGATCGACAGTCGACGGTGGTGTCCGACCACCTTCTATTTTTATCTTATATTTTGAATTATTTTATATTAATAATAATAATAATAAAAATGTCACGTCATACGAAAATAATAATAAAATAATTCATAGTGATCAAAATAGGAACAATTTGAAAGTTCAGTGAGTAAATTAAAAAAATAAAAGTATAGTGAGTGAAATAAGAAAAAGAATATAGTTCAATAAGGAATGGTGTAATTTATCCTTTTTATTAAAACCTCTGTCATTAAAAATCTTTGATTTCGGTGACTGGGACCTTAAATGACTAACATCCAGCAATAAAATGTTGACATAAAATCAAAGAAATATGAATGAGGTAGAACTCAAACTCGAGAATTCTAAAGAAGTGAATAATGTTTAATCATTGGGATGAGTAAAGTTTTAATATTTTGACAAAATTGAATATATATAAGTTTTTCTTTTGATGGGATCCAATCTAGGACCTTTGAGAGGTAAGTGCAATACCCAAGTAGTATGCTAAGCAAGAAACTTGTCATAAAATTTAACTTCATGACCAAAATTTAAACTTATTATTGGTAAGAAGGCTGTAAGTGTAATTTATAAAGTGGATTATGTGATATATTATTTAGGCGTCAAAGAATTACATAATTTGATAACACTATACGATAAATGTCAAGAAGCTTCCATATGATAATAAACTTGCAGAGGATGTATGTATGTATGTATGTATGTATGTATGTATGTATGTATGTATGTATGTATATGTATGTATGTATGTATGTATGTATGTATGTATGTATGTATGTATGTATGTACGTACGTACGTACGTACGTATGTATGTATGTATGTATGTATGTATGTATGTATGTATGTATGTATGTATGTATGTATGTATGTACGTATGTACGTATGTACGTATGTACGTATGTATGTATGTATGTATTAATTGCCATAATCCTCGAGTTCTTACAAGGAAAACAAGTCTTTCTTCTTTCTGAAAGTGATTCATTTGATCTTCATTGTCTCACCATCTGATCTTATAATATTAACAAGTATATCTAAACCTCTGCATTCACAATCAAACATAAGCCACTTCCATCCACCTTGTCTGCTATGTTGCCGATGTACCGATTTCTTTCCTCATTTTCTGCATTGTTAAGACAGTCATATTTCAACGAATTAATCCTGCATTAACAGATAGAAATTATATAAACAATGAAGAGATTGAATGTCAAAGTAATCAAACCATTTCGGCTTTGGTGTTTTCCCAAGCTTTATCTAACTCATCAAAAACAACATCAATAGGCGGTCGGCCTCGACTTGATTTTGCAACACAAAGTACTGCAATATGCAAAATGGATTCGAAATCCTTCCTATTCAGATCCTCATGAAGCCTCGGATCTTCAAAATCTGTAACTGGTCGTCTTCCCAGGCTCACATCCGTTGCCTGCAACGAATTCATATCAGTTAACATTTCCGGATTCAAATGACTGTTACTATCACAATAGAATATCAAAATACATACTTTTCGTGTAAGTTGTTCACTGGCATCGAGATCCAACTCGATAACTTTCTGTCCAGACAGAATTTGCAAGGCTACAATGCCAAAGCTGTATATATCACTGGCACAGGTTAGCTTTGCATTGGTCATGTATTCTGGATCCATATAACCTATAGTTCCTCTCACGTCTGTGAATACTTTGCTTTCCTTCATTCCCAGAATTTTTGCCAGCCCGAAATCCGAGAGTTTCGGATCCAAATGTTCAGTCAAGAGGATGTTTGTGAGCTATAACACAGGCATTCAGCATTAGGAACAATTATATGAATAGTCAGTTGCTTGCTTTTGCAGACTGTTATTCGCATTCGAGTATCAGATATGAGTATTTTAAGGAAAATGAAAGATCGGAGCAACATAGGTCACAGAGATGGATCACTAGGTTATGATCAATGTTACCTTAATATCTCTATGAACAATGCATCCATCAATGTAACTATGAAGATACCTCAGCCCGAGTGCACAGTCTCTTAGGATCTTAACTCTTCTATCCCATGTCAAGACGCAGTCTTTCCCTGAAAATGAAACATAGTCAGGTTAGTTCATAAAACCTCGGTCTTAAAAGGCGACATTCAACCTATTTGAGACTCGAAGCGAAGCATATGCGATGCCACAGCCCTTCTTAAACCTTGAATACTGCAATTCGAGATGGAAAAAATAGGAAATTACTGAAAGAACAGGCAAACATGCAATGGTTTCAAGAAAAAATTACTTAAGAGATGCTGAGCAAGATTCCCCGCATGACAGTACTCCAAGACCAAGTACTGCTCATCACCTTCGATACAGCAACCAAGCAAAGAAACGAGGTTCGGGTGTCGAATCCGGGAAAGTCCAGCAACTTCCCTAGCAAAAGTATCCAAAGAGTTACCTTTCTTTATCTGCTTAATGGCCACAACTTGACCACTAGGCAACCTGCCTTCATAAACTTCACCAGCACTCCCTCGGCCTAAACTCTTCCTTCGATTGTTAATGCATATAGCTTTCTCAATCTCAGACTTTGAAAACCTGTAGAGACCAGACCAGGTATTGCTGTCCTTTAATGGCATTGGTTTTGGAAGCTCCTTTAATGGCATTGGTTTTGGAAGGTTTCTTTCACTCTTTCCCTTCTTCAAGGCCACAAATTTTACCAAGAATAGGATCAAAATCAGCACCATGACTGCTACAGAGAGCGCAAGAAGTGCTTTTGCCAGGGGCCCTAAACATGATTTCAGTGAACATTTTATAAATTTTTAAATGGCAGCTCAAACCAGGGGTTTAAAGTAGACACTATTTTATGATTTCAGCTTTCTCCAGTGACATTCATTGTGGATATTCACTGAAACCGCGACCGAAATTTAAATCCTTGACTCAAACAGAAGAAAGAGATGGAGATAAGCAATTCAACTTACTTTTGAGTCTGATGTAGCCTGGATCTGTTAGACAAACAATGGCTCAGAGTCAGTAGTAGTGAATCTTGAACTTATATTACTCAGACTAGGGTTTGAGTGTCAGACACGGGTATGTTTCAGAGTTCTTCATGTATGTCTTACAGATGGTGGACAAGGAAACTTCAAGGAAAATTAAAAGTAGGGGTAACATAGACTCGAACTACGCAAAAAAGACTTCTAAATAAGTTATGGTCCTTACCAAAAACATCTAAAGAAGACATGCAGCTAAACAAATTTGCACCAAAAGAGCTCTCAGTGGCATTTGCAGCAGCAACAGACTGCACAGCAGCTAGATTACATAATGTAATTTCAGTACCATTAGTCTGCGATTGAAATATTTGCAATAGAAACCAAGCTACCCTTGATATGGCCTCTGTGCAGTTTCTGCAGGAGCTTTGAAATGAAGAACTCAAGTTAGAACATGATTTAACTGCTTCCAGGTAAGGTGGACTGCCTTGAATCTGTGACAGAGATAAACTTGAACACTTGGAACTGCCAGAGTAAAAATTGCTGAATCCACAAGATTCTATGGAAACCAATTGTTGAGTTGGAAAGGGAGAATTGCATTGTTTCCATGAATCTTGTCCAATGAAGATGGCACTGTCTGGTGTTTGATTGGCTCGAACTGCTAGAACTTGAGTGAAGGCATTCAGGGCATTTCGACAGCAAAGGTGTGAAGATATCGTGCCCCACAAGTTAACTTTCCCATTGTCACCAATGCAGTCACCACTTGGTAGGTAAGGGTGTGAAGTGAAATTCAAGGTACAGTCTGCAAACCATAGCAAAAATTGTTAAGCTGCAGCCACAGGCGCGTTTTCGATTGCATCTACCATGGTCAATTACGATTAATATAGACAGTTGAAAAGGAATAGAAAAAAGGTCTCTAAAATGTACAATCCAAAGCTTAACTGTTACCTAGAAACATAGTTAACATAGAGTTTATTGTGCAACTCCTATGCATTAAGGCAAAAATAAGGCTCAACATACCTGAATGGTTTATCTAAAAGCAAGGCGATCTTTGATTGTAACTCAGTTAATTCATATAGCTATGCTTATGCGGTGACATATAGCAAATTGGCAACTCTTTCCCTATCCTCTGGCTACTATTTCCTTTTGTAAAAACAAGTGATCCTAGTGGACTTAAACTATTATCTAAATATTAATATTATGTTTAGATAATTTCATACTCAAATCACTTTTCCAAGAGTCAAGAACACTTTTTTAACTTTTATAATTGGGTTGAAAAGTACATTTCATCTTAAAAGCACCCCGTTCTTTGTTTACCGTAACAAAAGTAGAGATGTCATCCGATCAATCTAGATTCCAATTCCAAAATCTACACTTTTCATCTATACTGATACACTACGGTTTCTTTTTGTTATACCTCCGAAGATAATCTCTAGAAACCTCCATCAAACCGAAGTCACTAAAATAATCAACTCTCCATAAACCAAAGTCTTCAAAAACCCTCTCCATTGACCAGAATTTCCAACAAACGTAAATCCCCCGAATACAGATTTCTAGTAAACTACAATGTACAAACAAGATTTTCTGATAAGTCCATGTGATGCACCAGAATAAAATTCAAAGTCTGACAAACGAAACCACCCACCACTTAAGTCTTTAAATAGTCACGATGATCATACGACTGACACTCCACTAAAAATTCCTATCAATACCCACCTAAGACTACAAAAGGGGACAAGCCTCCTATGTCTACACGATTTTCATCTTTTTAATCACAATCACATCTCTCATGTAGATTACACCCTCAACTATCATTCTCTCACCAATCGTTACTCTTCGCCCAAACTAAGAAAGATAAAACCAAATTTATTCCAATCAACACTTTTATATTTATATATATATATCAGCTACAGAAATGTGAACCCGAAATTTTACGTAATTAGTTCATGCAATAATATCCAAAGAAATGGTATTTGAAACTCTAAATTCAAATCCCAACGTCTTCCATCACTTCTCATATCCGAAACTAGAGTGAAAGACTTACTCCCAAACGAATGAAATTGTCCCTAACAGTGTTAAATCCGGGAACAAACCAAAAGGTGAACATTGTCATTCAAACATAAAAAACAAACACATGGATTACATCAAATAGAAAAGAGAAGTTAACCTGCCAGTGAAGGAGAAGCAAAGGCAATGAAGAGGAAGCAATTAATGCAGCAGAAGGCAGCAAGTTTCAGCCATGGATGAAGTTTTCTCATCTCCTTTTTCCTCGTATGGTAGACCCTTTAAAGCTTTACACCATGGCGAAAGATGGAATTCAAATATTCACAACATGAGAAAGAGTGAAGAAGAAGCTGAAAATTTTCCATTGGAGAACACCCAATTCTTCATTTATACACACATTGTTGGCCTAGTGATTATCATATAAAAAGCTGGATATTCTTTTATGGTAGCTGGATTCTTTCGGCTAACTTTACAAATCTTGAAATTTTCACCAATTAAGCATCTTATCAGTATCTCTACCTTGCAATATACACTTGAAATCCGTATAAATTTGTGTTTAAGGTGAAGTGAAAACAAAACTTTCATTGAAATCAACTCCCATTTGAAGATTTTTTTAATATATATCCAACAGAGTAAATCCAAGCATAGAATCTTAAATCATATCGCCGCTTCTGTTGATGCCAGAAAAATAATAATGGCTATATGGTTTTTTTAACAGATTATGAGGTTAATACCGGTGTAAAAACCATTTTTTTTAAAACAATTAAGTTTAAAAAATAATTATTTACTTTGATTTGAAAAATTAGCGATTTTGAATTAAATTGAATGGGAGTCACCATTGATCTTTGAGCTAGGTAGGTCTAATACTTAAAAAAACGTTTTTCAAAACAATTTTAAGGAAAAATCGTTTTAAGACAAAAATTGGTATGCGTTTACCAAAAATCAGATTTAATGGGTCCGGAAGTCGATTACGTGTGGGGAATGATTAACACCCCAAAATGCCCAAAATTGATACTTAGTCGCTTATATGTTATCACAAATGCTGGAAATTATAAATCGAATATAAAGTTAAAATATGATTCATTTATTAAAGTTTAATTAATTTGCTTAGAATTATTTATTAGGTAAAATCTTTTAATTCGAAAAGAAATATCGAGATTAGCTCATCCTCTTCTTATTTCTTGTCTAAAAAGAATATTTTCTCCTTGATAAAAAAATGCAAATCGAATATAAAGTGAGCATCGACATTTGCAAAAAAAATAAATAGTTATTTAGAGAAAAATGCATTGCATTATTTGACTTAAAATAAAAAATAAATTAATTAGCACTTAAAAAAGTAACTTCGATTTATTTCAAGTCATATTTCGTTCGAATGTCGTATCGGATCATACTACTTCGAGCAATCAATGCTTTCCACGCCCATTCTACAAATAAGTGTTCTCGAAAACATTCGAGCTAGAGACTTTTAGAATATTATCAAATAATAATCATTTAGCGAAAATAAAAAATACGTACATAAATAAAATGTGTAAAATGAATAAAGATCCAAATGCATAAACACTACATATATGAACATTTAATATGACAATTCGTGCATAGCGACATTTACAATGAAAATATAGACTCTAAGTTGAAAGTACTAATGTGCAGTAAATAAATAAAACAAAGATCAAATTAACAAGATAAACAAAAACAGGGAGCTAAACAGGTAATAATCTTTATTTTGAGACTAAAACCAGTGATTACTTTACATATACTAAAATATATAGGGATTAAAGACACAAATAAACTGAAATTGGACAAACATTAGACAAAAAGTACTAAAAACAAATTGCTAGATCAAGCCAAATATTTAACCAAAACATTAAAACATACGTACGATGACTAAAACGTAAAGAAATGAAAACATGAAAGGCTCGAATCCATAAATATCCCATTTCATTTCAAACCTGCCAGATTACAAAACTCAAGGGCCTAAAATTGCAATTTTCCCCAAAACTTGTGAAAACACGGGACTGGGGGCGAAACCACGTTGTTTCGATCCATTTCGATCCGTGTATATAAACTCGATTTTAAGGCATTTCCCTCATCCTCTCCCCATTCCTCTACTTGTTTTAGAAAATGAAGAGAGAGAGAGTTTCCCAAAACTCTCTCAACTTCCCCTTGTCGGGAGAGAGGGTCGCCGTTCTCCGGTGGCGGTTCACGATCGTTCACGAAGATCGGAGGAAACAAACCCCCCCAAAATCCCTCTTGTCCTCTTTAACCCAAATATCACCCCTATTTAGTCTAAAAATCACCCTAGAATCATAGATCTCTATGGTTAACCTCTCGGAAAAAAAGGATATGGCGACCTTCGAGCTTCCAGCACTTTAAATCGAGGTATGTGTTTCTCTCTTTATTATTTTTCTTTGTTGATTTTTGTTGTTTTCGAATTTTTCCTCTCTGTGTGTGTTGTTTTTTTTTATTTTGAATCTTTTTTTCCGGTTTTCTTGCTCTCTCTTTCTTTATTTTTTTACTCTCTCTTCGAATCTGGTCCTCTCCTTTTTATCTTCTTCTTTGTTGATTTTTGGTGATGGCTTATTGTTTTCGAGGAAATAGGGTTTGGGTGCCCTATCTCTGTAGATTGACAGTCCTGGATTTGCCTGGGGATATCATTCAGATTTCTTTTTATTTTTTATTGGGGTTTTAGATCGGGTGGGATTTTTTCTGACTTGATGTGGTTTTCTGTCACTGTTGATGATGACGATGACTCAGGAGCTTACGGTGGTAGCTCACGCAGTTGGAGTGATGGACGATGAAGCGCACGCGCCGGTTAATGGCTGCTCAATACTGATGACGGTGGCTGATATATTAGGGTTAAAACCTTAAGCTCTTTGGTGATCTGGACCATTGGATGGGTCCATGTCCAACGGTTGGACATGAAGGTGGCGGTGGGTATAAAATAAACCCTAATGTGTTTAGGGTTCTGATATAATTAAGTCGGGTTAAATCTTGGGCTTCAGGGTTTTTCAAATAGGCTCCAATTGAGTCTGATATTGGGCTTTAGGTGCTGGGTCACTTGTTGGTTTTGTAATTTAGGCCTGCAAAATGTAATAATATTAATAATTAAAAAGTAATAATAATAATAATAATTTAAAATCCAGAAAAAAATGGTGTTTACAGCTACCCCTCTTTGCTCATTCTTGTGTTAATCAAGAATAAGGCAAAGACAACAAGACATCAAGTTTTTGTTTGGTTCTCCCTTTCGCTTTTAAACTTGATAGTAAAGAGGATGCTGCTCATCCATGTCGAAGAGATCTGGCCACTTTCAGATAAATTGTTTGTTGAAGATGATGATGTTCCTTTTCGTTGAGGAAGTCGGGTCAATTTGGAGATAATTTGGAGACAACAATCTCAAGTGAGATTAATTTTGTTTTAAGAGAATTTGTCTCAAGCGAGACAAAACTTTTTTCGACGGAAACAATCTCAAATGTTTATGATTCAAAAGAAACTGTCTCAAGAGAGATAAAATTTGTTTCAAGGGAAACAATCTCAAATGTTTATGTTTCAATAGGAACTGTCTCAAGCGAGATAAAATTTGTTTCAAGGAAACAATCTAAAATGTTTATGTTTCAAGAGAAACTGTCTCAAGCGAGATAAAATTTGTTTCAAGAGAAACAATCTCAAAGGTTTATGTTTCAAGAGAAACTGTCTCAAGCAAGACAAAATTTGTTTCAAGGGAAATAATCTCAAAGGTTTATGAATTTTGTTTCAAGTGAAACAATCTCAAAGGTTTATGTTTCAAGAGAAACTGTCTTAAGCGAGACAAAATTTGTTTCAAGAGAAACAATCTCAAAAGTTTATGTTTCAAGAGAAACTGTCTCAAGCGAGACAAAATTTGTTTCAAGGGAAACAATCACAAAGGTTTATGAATTTTGTTTCAAGTGAAACAATTTCCCAATTTTGTGTTTTGAGGGAAAATTGTCTCCAGTGAGACGAATTTGTTTTGAAAGAAACAATCTTAAGCGAGATTAATTTTGTTTCAAGTAAAACAACTTCAAAATTTGCATCTCAAGGGAAAATTGTCTCAAGTGAGACAAAATTTGTTGTTAGGAAAATAATCTCATGTGAGATCAAATTTGTTTCAAGAAAAACTGTCTCAAACGAGACGAAACTTTGTTTTTAAGAAAAACAATCTCAGATGTTCGTGTCTTAAGGAAGACTATCTCAAGTGAGACAAAATTTGTTTTTAAGAAAAATTGTCTCAAGTGAGACAAAATTTGTTCTTAAGAAAAAATCTCAAAGGCAAAAGACAGTCTGCTCCTGTATGTTGAGGAGATCTAACTGCATTTATAAGATCTGATCGTTCACTTTAGGATGTCAAATCCGTGGGTGACATTGTTCCTACATGTTGAGGACGTCTAGTCATCACCAAACTTTTATTTACTGAAAGGCCAAAATGATGCATTTATGAATGCTTATGTTGAATGTTTTATGGATGCCATGATGAAGTTTATTTCAATTGTTTGATTTGATGAATTTTTGAATTTTTCATCATGAGAGGGGATAAATGTATATAATAAAGACAAGATTTCATGTGAAATTTTTAAAAGTATCCTCGTGAGAGGGAAAATCAAAGTCTTTATTGCACGTGATGATGAATGTATGATGCAAAGATGCAAATTTCATATAACATGTATGTATGTGTTAATCTATGTTTTCTAGATCTGTAAGGGGAATGTTTGCGTGAGAAGTCTTCATTCTATCCCTGATTCAGTTGTCTTCATTTTCCACCAGGGTGTACTCTTGCAAACTTCGACCTGCGACAATTCGTTTTCCTTGCCCCATCAAATTTTGCCCCAAAAAAATTGGCTTCCCTTGCCCCAGCTTTGATCATGAACTTCGGAGAGATATTTGTTGAATTCCAAGATATGCTTCCAGAGAGGTTGTTTTGTTTGAAAATGTTTTTCTTCCTTTGGAAAAAAAACTACATGAAGAAAGAAAATGTAAATTTTCATTGTCAAATGAACTAAAATAATGCCCCATCTTCCGCATCACAATTGAAGCAAACATGAGTTCATTGATTATCAAAATAATCAACTGCTCTTTTAATCTTTCATAGCTGCAAATCTTTGACAAATATCAAGATCGACATATTGGTTTTGAGGTTAGCTACCTACATTTTAAGGCTTGTTTCATCGATCCATCCTTTTTCTTTTTCTCAGTCATCATGAAAATTATGACATGCCCCTCTTTCTTGGTTTGACATTTTAATC